CCTCTATCCGTGAAAGGGCTGTAAGCGGTCAAAAAGAATGTGCACGGCGCTCAGGGGAGAGCCGCATTGTGAAAAGGACCCGCCCCCCCCCTGAGTGAAACTGTTGCGAGCTTCAAGCTGCAGAACCATGCAGGCCGAGGAAGTCTAAAGCGAAACGTCCGGCCCGCCCTACCGACACATCTGACGGTGCGCCAGGGAGGAATAATGTAAAAGGAGAAGGGACGGAGGAGACGGAAGACAGGGGGGGGAGGAGGAGGAGGAGGAGAAGGAGGAGGAGGAGGAGGAGGAGGAGGAGAAGGAGGAGAAGGAGGGGGAGGAGGAGAAGGAGGAGGAGGAGGAGAAGGAAGAGGGGAGGAGGGGGGCGGAAGGAGGGAGGGGGAGGGGAGGAAGGCTCCTCTTCCTTGCCTCGTCATCCTCTTCTTCATCGAACCAAATGTTATTAATCATGTGGGGTAGTAGTGTTATTCGTAGTTTTAGTATCACCCGTCTTATCAGTATTCATGTCCTGGTTACTATATCCTGTCTCCTTGTAGTACGACTTTTCTCCTTTATTATTACAATCGCGATTACATCCCCAGGCCGAAAGTTCATTCCTCATGGTCTAAAAATATGAGAGCACCGATGGATCCAATTGGATCCCTGTGTTTCGGGTGTGCGACAACGTCGTGGAAACCTATTTATGTATTGCGCGGATCCAATATCCCGTGTGTGAAAAAAACAATGCATCAATGTATTCATATTTTGGGCATAAACATGCAATCCTGATTCACATCCTGGACCCAGGGGACATGGGATCCGCGGGGCACCGCACGTGAAGCATCATGATATACACGAAACAGTGGATCTGCGGACCAAAGTTATGCCCCTACGGGGGGGAAGGGTCTTCCAAGGACGGAGATGGGAAGGATAACAAGAGCACGAGAAGGGGGCGGAGGAGAATGGACGGGGGAGGGAACAGAGAGGAGGAACAATCAGGGAGGAGGGGGGGAGGGAGGACGAAAGGGAAATGGGAGGAGGAGGAGGAGGAGGAGGAGGAGGAGGAGGACGGGGAGAAGGAGGAGGAGGAGGAGGAGGAGGACGAGGAGGACGAGGGAGGAGGGAAGAGGGAGGAGGGATGCGGAAGTACGAAGGAAGAAGGAGGAGGAGGGGGGGGAGGAGGGAGGTGGGAGGAGGAGGGAAAATGGAGGACGGAGAGCATGGGGACACACAAAATCAAGATCGGAAGATCGAACACCACAGCGGGCCTAGCCACCTCCCTCAACTCCGCCCAGAACATGCGGTTGTTCGAGCGCCACAGCGGGCCTGGTCATCTCCCGAAAATCCCCCCATAACATCAGGCTGCTCGAACGCCACAACGTGCCAGGCCAACTCCCGCATCTTCCCCCCGAACAGATTGCAATCCCCAAGCCGAGGAAAGCGCTACATGCATCCATTCACCTGAACGGCACGTCGTTTCCGACATGTGGGGGTCAAGAGGAAAATGTTTCGGCCTGCGTGAATGTTATTCGCATTATTTCTTAGTGGCCGTAGTATGCCTACGACTCGTTGCAGTATGATTAATAGCTGTATTGAGCATTGACTCAATATTCCTCTTACCAATATAGAAATTCCTCCTCCTCCTCCTCCTCCTCCTCCTCCTCCTCCTCCTCCTCCTCCTCCTTCGATTCCTCCTCATCCTCCCCATCTTGGGGTATGACGACCTCACGAAACCCATATTCCACTGCGTTCTCCTCCGCATCCCTGATCAAGGCATTTCGCCTGGGAATCGTTTGTGGATGGGCTGGTGGGGCTACTTTTTGAACGCGAGCGCACCGGAGGTTGCCAGACGCCGTCAAGGTCACAGCAGGCAAGATACGAGCGAATTGCGCACCAGGGGGAGAGGGAGGCGACGAGAGGACACCGGGAGCAGGAACTAACAGGAGGCGGGTCTCGCTGCCGCTCAGAAGTGGGCGCCGTCGACTGGGGGGGGCCTCCAGGCGGATTGCATAGCCAAAATGGCGGGGAGTTCTGGTTGAAAGACACCGCGAGCGTACTAAAGACAGGGGCCACCGGCAGAACGAACCACGAGGACCAGGCGTCAGGACCAACGGTCACTCCGTCGCCAAGTGGAAGTCGAGTCGCACGCACCGGCAGGCGTCGACCAACTCCGTGCAGGCGCTCAACAGACCAGAGTCCGGATCGCCAGACACCGTCAGGGACTGGTGTCGAAACCGCGTGCCTCAACGCGAGGGGTGCTGGCGAAAGCTCGCGCACCGGGAGGCATGTGGATCCCGCTTGGGGACCGTCGGTGGGAGGTGACCGAAGGTCAGCCTGCCCCAGGTCGAGGAGGGATGCCGCATGCCAGGGGCCGTAAGGCCGGAAGGGCCAAGGCGGAGGGGCAGCTGAAGCGGGCGGGGCAAGAGGAGGACAGAGCATAGGCCGCCGGGCGGGGCGCCGTGGGGAAACGCCTCAGGCGCATCTGAGACCCAGGGGCCAGAGGCGGGGGCAGAGCACCGAGGGGGCCCCGAGCAACCCGCGCTGGGCGAGGGGCAAGGGGGGGGGGCCCGGCGGCAGGGGGCGAAGAGCCACAAGCTAACCCAGTGACAAGGGCGCACTGGGAGGCCAGGCGCCGCGAGCCGACAGCCCCAGCTGAGGCACGCGCCTGGCGGTATTGGGCGCGAGGCCGGGGCGGCCCCCGGGGGGGCCGCGGGGAGGGCGGGCGAGGCAGGGGGGGGGGAAGGCGGGGGGCTCGGGCGCAGAAGGCTGGCAGGAGCGCCAGCGCCCGCGAAGGGGAGTCGCGCCGGGGGCGGACGCAGAGGCGACTAACGGTCGCAAGTCTTTGTGCCGCACACGGGGGCGCAGCAGAAAGGGGGGTGAGCGGCGAGAGCCGCAAGCGAGGGGAAGCGGAGAGGCGACGAACGGTCGCAAGTACTGGTATGGAGCGGCAGAGGCGGCGGAGGCGAGGGGGCGTCGCGCCTAGCGGTCGCATGTATTGGGGTGGCGGCATGGGAGGAGCGAGGGCCCCGCGGGGGGCACCGAGGGGGCCCGGAGGGTGGCAGCCGGGGAATGGGCCGCGCACCCAATGAGGGTACGTGCCATAGCAGCAGCGCTGTGGCTCCCAGTTGTGAGTAGGAGCGAGGCGAGAGAGGCGGACATCCGAACCCGGAGGCTCAGGAGAACGAGCGGGAGCGGGGGCTGCGACTGCGGCACCCTGGCCTCCGGAGTGCCGGGGGGATGTGGCAGCTGGGGCGCACGTCCTGGGGTGGGCGTTCAGCGTCGTCGATCGCCGTGGTGCTGAGCGAACCTGTGGTAGACGAAGACGCCGTGGCTTGTGGGGTTATTTTTGTCCGCCCCAACCGCAGGCGAAGGCGCACAGCGGCGCCACAAGATAGCTCGGGCTACGAGCAAAGCTAAATTAACATAGCGCGCGCACACACGGCTGCAAAACTACCGCCGAGGGACGTTGAGCTGCGCCGAAGCTGAGGCTGCAGGAGCTGCCAGGAACTGCCAGGAGCTGCCAGGAGAACCAGGCAAGCGTGCGGGCATCCCAGAGGCGAGACCACCAGGAAGGATGAATTGAACCTTGTCGCAACAGGCGCCAGAAGTCGACTCGCCACAAGAGTGGCGAAGCGCGGGGCTGCATAAGCAGTCCAACGTGCTAGGCTGCACGCCAACGGGGACGGTCACACATGGCAGACCAAGAAGGCCAGACCACTCCTGCTGGTGGGGTTACTTTTTGATCTGCGGCCCGCAAGGAAGAGTCCAGAGGGCGTGTCAATCGGGCTGACTGGTGGGGTTACGCGAAGCGTCTAGAATTAAAAGGAACGCAGACCGAATCGAGAGCTTCCGAACGGCGCCCGCGCCAAGCCTCAGAAGGAGATGCGGACAAGGAGTGAGATGGCAGAACTCTAGCGTTGGTCCTGACGACGCCCAATGATAGAGCTGAGTCACTACGGAGGGATGCGTGATTCGCTGGCGGATCTGCTCAACACCAGGCGCGAAGGAGGCGGGCGCACAGGCATCGAATACAAGGGGGGTGCACGAACGTATAGTTCGGAGGATGTCTGATAGCTGGGCTAGCACCGGCTGAAGGGCGAACAGCCTTGTCAGAAACAACATCAGAGGCGGCCCGAAAGTGTATGCTTGTGCTGCCTTGTTGTGCCTTCCATAGCACCACAACAAAAACCACGGCCACCACGTGAAGAACGATGCCACTGGCGACAGCGAAGATGGGGAGTCGATAGGCAACCCTATTGCAGGACCGCCTTCGCCACCTCCTCCCAGGTCAGACGATGACGCCAGCGCGGTTTGTGCTGACCTCCGCCCTTCGAATCGAGGTGCCCTCGAAGTTCACTACGGTGCCAATGAGGCCGCCGAGTCACCGAGGAAGGTGGCACACACGTGCTGGCGCACCAACGGGCCGCGCAGGCCACAGCTCGGCCCAGAACACAAAGGTGTGCGGCATCCTGGGCGCCACGGAACAGGTGCGTCGCAGTGAGGCCCCACTGGAGCGCTGGATGCGCAAGGTGGGGGTAATCCTGGCCCTCCCTCACATGAGACGCAGAAGGACATAATCACTGGGACTACGCGGCCCCCCTGGAGGCACACGTCCAAACCGAACATATAGTACTAATACCTTAAAGTAGATTGGCACACAAGCTATGGCCAGAAAAAAAACACCACCGAGCAGATACGTACTGCCAGATTTCTGAGCGCGCGTCGCCACTGGTGGGGGGGGGGGGGGGGGGCAACGCACACATAGTATAAAGTATGGTTGTGTAATGCCGATCTAGAAGCTCGCCTGGGGAGACGTTAGACTCGAGTTCGGGGGGCTCGCCCTTGCCTGACGGGGCCGCGAGAAAAATGGCGCGACCTGGTCTGGAATTCGGCGCGAACTGCCGGAGACATCTCACGAAAAATGAACCGTCAAAAGTCATGCCAGGGGCGGCAACCCAAATTTGGCAAACACCAGTCTCACGTGACCTGACTCATCCTCCTCCCCCCTCCTTCCACCCGACGGCCAGCGGCAGGTCCGCGTGCAAAAAACGGTTCAGCGGCACGGGGTTGTCCACAACATACCGGTGCTGCGTGGCCCACCAGCCTGCCAGAGAGGGTGGAGGGGGGGTGGGGGGCGGCCACCGGAAACAGCTCGGACCCCAGAAGGCGGAAAACGAGGCAGACATCAGCCACGGGGCAGGAGCTGAGAGCGAAGGATATACACAGAAGGTGGAATGTCACCACCACTGTGCCAGGCCAAGGCCATTGTGGGCCCTGGCGTGGTGCACGCGCCCTCCTGGTGGAGGCGCCAGGAAGATCTATGCACCATCCTGCGGCCCAGGATGGCCCTGGCCAGGCACGGTGGTGATGTCCACATGCCTCCTGGTGAGCCCTACCCGTTGTGGGGGACGCGATGAGGAAGGCAGAAAATTCCTACGCTTCCGTGCTATATCACGGGCGGCTGTAAGCGACCGCAAGGCCTAAAGATCCGGCGCACTGATGATTTCAATACATGGTCCCCGATGTCCCAACCCTTTCCCCGTGGCCGGCTTTTCATCCCGAACCGTTTTTTGGTCCTGAGACCGGTCAGGGCCCTGGAGGCCCCGAAAACTACAAAATGCCTCCATACCGATTTGCGTCAACACGTTGGAGGTTCAGGAGGCGCCCCCGCAACGCGCACGGTGTCACACAGTTTCGGTCGCCGAGCCCGGTACATATATACATAGATATGCATATGATAATGTGTATACGTGTGGGCATGCACATACTATTACAGACATGCGTGTGTATGCATATACGTGTATATCTACACATACATACATGTGTGCGCATGTGTACGTATACGTGTATGTATGTAAATGCATATGTCTATATATATATATGCATACACATACGTATGCGTGTATGTGTATGTGTATGTGTATGTGTATGTACGCATGTATGTGTATATGTTTATGTACGTGTGTGCATGTGCATATGTATATGCATGTGTGGGCGCAAATTAAAATATATATCTATATGTGTGTAAAGGTGAATGCATACGTAAAACCATGTGTATACGTATATGTACACGATGGACATGTGGATGTATGTAAGTAGGTGTGCTATGTATGTGCTTTTATATGTATAAATGCTTATGTACATGTATAGGTATACATATGAATATGTGTGTATGTGTATGTGTATCTGTGTGTGCATGTGCGCATGTATGTATGTGTGTGCGCCCAGGTATGGGTGGATGGATGGATGAATGGATGGATGTGTATGCACGCATGCATGCATGATGGCATGAATGTATGCATGTGCACAGGTGTATATATTTATACAGAATGTGCCGCTTGCCAAAAGTGTGCCGCTTGTATGTATATATATTATATGTCTATACAGAATGTGCACAGGTGCATGTGCGCATGTGCCGCTTGCCAAAAGTGTTCATTACGGAGAGACGCCCATTTGAAAGACGAGCGCACCGCGGGCGCGTCATTCAGGCGAAAGCCAAATCCGCCCTCCATCCTTATGTCTATGCGAAGTGCCACAGTTAGGAGCACGAAGTTCAAAGAGATGTCCACCTACGGACCCCTTTTGAAAGGCGCAACCCTCCACCCATGTCGAATGACAGCATGCCTGAAGTGCCATGCGAGAACCCATGTCGAACATGACTCACGCTCCATACATGAAGCTGTTGCGGAGTCTTGCCATTATGTGCATAAGGCTTGAGGGAGTCTCGAGCGATAGCCGAATTGCCACTATCCATGGAAATATGGAACTAGAACCATCGCGCGCGCTTCGCGCGCGCTCCAGTTCTAGCTACCGACAGACTAACGCATGGAATCTCAATTGTTGAAGCGCCTTGTGCATCTAACGACCTTCTTGGAGTCCCTGCGCAAGCCTCGGAAGCGTATAGAAGGGGAAATGAGGAAACCACAAAATCATCCACTTCATTTAGGTGCTCGATGATTTGGGGCCCTCGAAGGCTTCCTGGGATCTTTCTTCGATGGTGACGGGGGCTTTACTGATGGTCTGATGTGCAAAAATAAACCGGGGGCAAATTTGAATTGGCCTGGCGAAGGACCCAATCATATGCAGTTGTGAACATCGCAGTTGAAGGCATCGTCTTCGGTGGAGCCCCCTTGTAGGGCCACGAAACGCTGTACTGGGTGGGGGAGACGCATGCGGACTACGCCGCTGGAGCCTTCGGTGGAGCCCCCTTGTAGGGCCACGAAACGCTGTACTGTGTGGGGGAGACGCATGCGGGCTGCACAATTGAGACCTTCGTCGGAGCTCCCGATGGGGCCACGAAACGCTGTTCCGGGTGGGGGAGACGCATGCGGACTGCGCCACTGGGACCTTCGTCGGAGCTCCCGATGGGGCCACGAAGCGCTGTGCTCGGTGGGTGAGACGCATGCGGGCTGCGCAGTTGAGACCGTCGGTGGAGTTCCCTATGGGGCCACGAAACGTTGTACTGGGTGTGGCGGACGCATGCGGGCACCCCCACTGGGGCCTTCGGTGGAGCTCCATAGGACCCTCTCGGGCCGTCCTGTGCGCCTATGGCGCCGTCTTGGGGCCCTCTTGGGCCGTTTTTGGGCCGTCTTCGAGGCCTCTCGGGCTGTCTTGGAGCGGACAATATGACCTCTTGGGCCGTTGCGGAGCGTCGGAAAACTGAAAAGGCGAGAACCTGGAAATCCTTCAAAAACTTTTGGATAAGCAATAAGTTGTGGCATCTTGGAGGTTTCTGGGGGCGTCTTGGAGGCCTCTTTGATAGTCAGGGGCTAATTCTGGCCGCCTTGGCCGTCTTGGCCGCCATTGGTCGTTCGTGTGGTCTGGAAGCGCCATGTTTGGCGATCCGGGGGCCGTCTCCGGGCGATCTTAGGGCGCCCCCGGCGCCCCAGCAGAACTGCCGGAACCCCGTACCCCAATGGGGGCACATGTTTGGGGGCTGCTGGCCTGTACATATACATATATATATATATATATATAAATAGAGAGAGAGAGAAAGATCGATAGATAGACAGATAGATAAATATGCACGTGCAAACATATATACATACTAGAACCATCGCGCGCGCTTCGCGCGCGCTCAGGTTCTAGCAGGCCCCAGGCCTTGACGAATTCACTGCTCCACTGAAGTAGTGGACCACAGTCCACGCATGCCAATCTGCATTCCGAAAGGCCTTCGAGGAAAATGGTTGTGTAGGGGGGCGGAGGCCGTATGAATCGGGTTCCCAGAAGGCCTTCTGGGAGCATGGGTTTGGGGCGTCTTGGGGAGCCTGTTGGGGCGTGCCGTCGTCGTCGTCGTCGTAATGTCGTCGTCGCCTATTGGGGCGCGCCGTCGTCGTCGTCGTCGTCGTCGTCGTCGTCGTCGTCGTCGTCGTCGTCGTCGTCGTCGTCGTCGTCGTCGTCGTCGTAATGTCGTCGTCGCATATTGGGGCGCGCCGTCGTCGTCGTCGTCGCCGCCGTCGTCGTCGTCGTCGTCGTCGTCGTCTTCGTCGTTTCGTCGTCGTCGTCGTCGATTCAAGAGGGCACTTGGGGCAAGTTTGTGCGAAACGATCTGCGGAGGGCCGCGAGAAGGCGATCAGTCATGCTCCCAATCAACTTCCCAGACAGCTCTCCTGTAGCATGATGGTTTGTTAGGGTGTGCTGGGGGGGTCTCTTGGGCGTTCCCTGGGGGCCCCTTGGGGGCCTCCGGGAACTCTCGGGCACATGATGAACCATGTCCCCGGAAGGTTTTCTGGGGTCATGACTTCTTGGGGTGTGTTGGGGGGCCTCTCGGGCGTTCCCTGGAAGCCCCTTGGGGGTCTCTTGGGGCTTCCTGGGGGCCTCTTGGGCGCCTCACGGGGCTTCGTGGAAGCCTCTTGGTGGCCTCCGGGGGCCTACAGGCGGCCTCTAGGGCCAGAGACCTCGAATTATCGGTTGGCGGACCGCCTCTGGGCCCTCTCTTGGGGGGCTCTTGGGGCACAGTTGGGTTGTCTGGGGAGCCTCCTGGGCCGTCTTGGGGCCCTCTTCGGGGCCTCGTGGCCCGTCTTGGAGCGATCTGAAGGGTCTCCGAGCGAGGCCGTGAGGGAGCGCCAGGAAGCGGGGAAAGCGAGAACGCACAAATCCTTCAGAAACCAAAAGAAAATTAGCAAATCTTGCCTCCCAGGGCCCTCTTGGAGAGCCTCTTGAGTCCGTCCTGGAGCGTGTTGGAGTCCTCGTCGGCCGTCCTGAGGGCAGCTTGGGCGTCTTCGGGGCCTCTAGTGACCGTCTAGGGCCCTCTCGGGACCTTCATTAGCCTGTTGTGGCCTGCTTCGGGGCGGGCCCGGGCCACCTCGGGACCCCTCTGGGCCTTCTCTTGGCGCGCTCTTGGGGCACACTTGGGTTGTCTGGGGAGCATCCTGGGCCGTCTTGGGGCCCTCGTCGGGGCCTCGTGGGCCTTCTTGGAGCGATCTGAAAGGCCTCCGAGGCCGTGAGGGAGCGCTGGAAAGCGGGAAAAGCGAGAACGCCAAAATCCAAAACACTCGGAAAACGAGTGAATCTTGCCTTCCAGGGCTCTCTTGGGGAGCCTCTTCAGTCCGTCCTGGAGCGTGTTGGAGTCCTCGTCGGCTGTCTTGAGGGCATCTTGGGCGTCTTCGGGGCCTCGTGGGACCGTCTTGGGTCCTCTCGGGACCCCCTTAGCCTGTCGTGGCCTGCTTCGGGGCAGGCTCGGGCCGCCTCGGGAGCCCTGGACCCCCCTCCCCGTAACCCCTTGTGGGCACCGATGGGGGGAACAGGCAGCGGCCCGCCCCCCCCCCCGGGCCTACTCCGAGATAGAGAATCAGATTCCCGGGAAGCTTTCCGGGAGCATGATTTGTTCGGCTCTCTAAGAGGGGGGCCTCTAGGGGCTTACCCAGGGGCGACTTTTGGCCTTGTTGGCAAGCCTATTGGAAACATGGTTGGGGCGCTGGGCGGAAGCCCAAGGAATCATGTTCCCGGAAAGCTATCTGGGAAATACTATTTACCGAAGTGTCTTGGGGGCCCGCAGGGGGCTTCCCTGGGGGTCCCTTGGGGGCCTATTGGGGCTTCCGGGGGGCCTCTTGGGAGCCTCACGGGACTTCTTGGGAGCCTCTTGATGGCCTTAGGGGGCGTCCT